GGGGGAGCAGATGATGGGAATGAGCCCATGGGTGCAGAATGATGCCTTTGTTCCCCGAACTGAAGGACTGAGCACCCTGTGGGCACCAGTAGCTCCTCACCAGTTCAGCTGTAGTACAGCTGCCTCTTGCCTGTGCATTCAGCATCGGACCTGATGGCAGAAACACAGACTTGGGCATCTGTTAAGGAGAAACCTGGAGCAGGAGCCATAGGCCTCCTCAGGCTCAGAATGCCCTCCCTGCAGCAAAGCCAGATGCCAACATCTTCAGGTCACCCAGCACCGAGCACCAATGCAGCTCTGCTTATGGCCAGGAAGAGGTCATTTTATGCTGCTTCAGGAAATCACAGTCGATTTTGCAGCAATTCAGAATGGTGTTAAAATGCAGCTTGAAAGTTGGGGAGGAGGCCTGAGGCAAGTGCAGAGTCCAAGCCTGTCATCCTGTGGTCACCCAGGCCCTGGTGGAGGTCATCCTTGCTCTGCAGGCCACAGGGCTCTTGCTGTGGCCTTGCTCTGTCGCAGAGGGGCTGCTGGGGATGGGGCCCTGGCGCTAGTCCAAGAGCTTGCAGGGACAGGTGGAAACAGCTGCTCAGCCACGGTGGAGAGATGTAGCTCTGTGGAGAGATGTAGCTCTGTAGAGAGCTGTGGTCTGAGGATGAACCCGCCTGTGCTTTTCAGGACTGAGATGCTGCTCTCCCACCACCTCCCTCCCCGTGAGACTTGAGCAGAAGGGCGATGTCCACAAAAGGCCCTCATGGTGTCTGCCATGCTGAGGACAGCTCAAAAAGGAGCAGATTCCTCCCAAGACTGATCTCACAGAACCTCTCGGCCTGTTCTCTTGTCTCAGGGTTACTAGGACGAGACTATGCTGCACCACGATGAAAGCCTGATAATTCTGACAGCACCAACCCCACAGATGGGGCCAAAGGCCAACAGAGAGGGAAGGCCAGCCTATGTGTTCCACTAAGACTGCACCTGAGAATAAGGTGAGACAATTGTATTTAAGATGAAAGATGAAAATCATCTGATCAGTGCAAGATATGGCGCCTCATAAAATCCAAGCCATAAAATGAAATTATTTTGACTTCCTTTAAGTAAAGTCTCCAACATTAGTTGTTCCTGCCAGCTCTGCTCAGAGATGATGTTCCCATTGAGATGAGAAGCTGGGGTCAGCACTAGATGAGCCACTCCCAGTGTCAGTGCCAGTGTATCTTTTCATGACTTGGTCATGTGCTTTCCTTTGCTCTCTGTAAGGAGCTCATCTGTGGGCCAGCCATGCTGGAGCAAGCCTATGGACCAGCTGCTCAGGAGGATCTCTGGAGCCCAAAAGTCTCAGGCCTGCCTGGGCAATAAAAGGATAACACATTCCAAAAAGAAAAGAGAAAAAGAAGCCCTAAAGGGTGAGCTCCTGTGGCCTCCAGGGTGAGCACTGTGCCTGCACATCTGGATTCCAGAGGCTGCTGGCATGCATTTAGAGAAGAATGCTTGTTACCTCCTCCTCCTGGATCAGCCTTACAAGATATGGGTTCTAAGGAACAGAGAGCTCAGTTCTGCTGCCCAGTCCTAGACACCAGTAATCCTCCCCACAACACGATCTCCTTCTAAGACAATGCCAGTGAATCAGAGTCTGTCAATGTCAGTCATTTGTGGGTTGGAAAGGAACACAGTGCCTTGTCCCATACCCAGCCTCAGGTGGGCTCCAGGCAGTGGTGGGGATGCTGGAAAGCTCAGTCTCCACCTTTTCAGGGGCCATGTGAAACATGGACCAGAGGCCATGAGTCCACGGCTTCAGAGGACATCCCAAGCCCTGGGCACAGGGCCTGGTGGGTGGACAGATGCTGGGGACAGGGGTCAGAGAAGGCACCTCCAGGATCCTGAGGTCTGAGGACACCACAAGAGGCCAGGATGCCAAGGAGAGGTGGTCTAGTTGGAGAGGACGGGAGCCCAGGACAAACACAGCCACAAGAAGACACAGGAGGCAATGGAGCAGTAGGAGAAGAGGGACAGGATAGATGTCTGCTTAGCAGGATGTCCAGCTAGTGAGTGCCCATGAGAGGTGAGGCCACGATCGAGCAAGGTAGATGTGCAGGTTAAGGGCTTTGCCTAGGATTTCTACTGTCTTAGTTCTTAACTTCCCTTGGGCAATAGGACAGCCCTGCAAGGAAACTTGAGGAATGAAAGAGGAAAATGAAGGGCCAAGTTTTTGATGTGTGACCTACTAGGCCTGGTCTTGGTCTCTCCTCCATATGCTAAAGTGCTGACCTCTGAAGATTTAGTTATCATCTACTCTCAATTGGCATGGACAAAAATATCTGTGAACTCTCCTACATGTGGTGTGAAGAAACATGTGATAGCCAGCAAACTCCCAAACAAAGCCTGTGGCCTGGCCCAGGCCTATAATCCCAGCTCTGAGAGAGGCTGATGCAGGAGGATCCCAAGTTTGAGGCCAGCCTGGGCAACTTAGTGACTTAGCAACAGCCTGTCTCAAAATAAAAATAAAAAATAAAAAGGGATGGGGATGTAGGTCAGTGTAAAGACCCTGGTTTAGTCTCCGGTGCCACTAAGAAAGAAAAAATGAGTTTTGCATGGAATATTATTAGCTCAGTGTGGAAGATAAAGAACCTCACTGCTGAAACTCAGAAAAGAAACAAGACAAAAACTGAGCCTTCTAAGAAGAACATACCTCATCCCTACATGACTTCACATGTTCTCCTACCCAAATGCTGTATTATTTTGGAAATAAAATTTCTCTTCTCTACCAAGAACAGTCTGTATCCTGGAGTTAATTTAAAACTTTCCTGGGGTTTTCTCCTAATAAGGATGACTATCTTCAGATAATGAAAATGAGTAAGTGGCCATGAATACCACACTCCAAAACATCTTGGAAGTGGAGAAGCAGCTGACCTTTACAGGATTTTCACATCTGCCTCAGCCAGAGCGGCCAGCCTTCACTTCAGGGGTGGTGGGAGGTGGTCTCCGTGTGACCTGGTGGTCCTTCTCCCTCACTGTGACTGAGGAGAATGGGCTGTCCCAGCTCTTGTGTGGCCCTTGTCCCAGGCCTGTGCCAACTTCCACAGCCTGTCTGACTTCAGACTGGCCAGCAATGGCTGTGTGGCCAGCTATTCCTATGTGATGAGTGATGTCTCCATCTTCAAACAAGGAATCCTGGCCACAGTGCTGCTAACAGACCTTCCTACTAGGAGGAAATAGTAGTTGTTCTTGACTAACTGAGAGCAAGACTTCGCTGGACCTCAGTGAGTTGGCTTCATATTCTATGTGTGAGACCACATTAAGAATTGGCTTGGGAGCCAGGAAGTTTTGCCTATTAAAAGAGAAAAGTGAGTCTTGGACCCTTTAGGAAGGGCGCTGGAGACAAAAGGACAGATTAAGGATTATATGACAAGATTAAGACCAGCATAAACCAGCAAATGGCTATGGAGGGCTTTCCACATAATAGCTGCATGTCAGGTTCATTATTTCCTTCTAAGAAACATATCACCCACTAATACTGAAGTCTGGCTTCAGAGGTTAAGAAATCATACCAGAACTCTAGGACCCCTGCTAGGATAAAGCATCACATAGGCCAAGGCCCTCATCTGGGGTCAGCTTTGGGGCTGACCTCACCTCCATGAGTCTTTCTATTCCCCACCCTGCTCCATGTCCTCCAGGATGCAGAAAGAAGCCTGATTCAGGACACAGACAGCAAGCCAGTCCTTGCCATACAGGAAAGCAGTGAGATAAAAATAATGCCAACTGTGGATTCCTGGAAACTGCCTCAGGAGGAAGACCAAGGGTGAACACGAGCTGGGGAGTAAGGAAAAGCCCTGTCAAGAGCCTTTGGACTGGGAAGGGGTGTGAATGCCATGGATTTTCCTCAGTGCCGATAGAAAAATTTCCAACAACATCTTGACATCTGTGCCTTCTCTGTATTAGGTATTAGATATTTTCATCCCAAGTATTGTTGAGCAGATATGGAAATGAATAAAGAATTTAATCTATTGAGGATATTTGGGTCTTCTCTTTGTTTCTAAACAGAAAAGCACCTTCACTTTTCAAAACTGAAAACCCTTTTTATTAAAGATAGTACAAGTCAACCACCAAAGTTTCTCAAAGGAGATTTATCCAAACTGTGTAAGACCAAGATCAAACAGGTATGCTCCATGAGGGACACTGGAATGATTTCCATGGTCTCTGGGACTTTAACTACACACATACAATCTGGAGATACTTAGAGGAAAAAAGAGGACCAAAGAGCAAGCAGCTCTGAAGCATTTCACCGACAGCGCTGGGTTCACCCGTGATGCCAGGTTTGCCTCTGGCCGGGTGGCTGTGGCGGCTCTTAGCAGGGCCCAGGGGTCTGCAGCCAGCACTTAACTCATGTCCCAAAGGGTGCTGCTTCCCTGAAAAGCTAGGCTTAACTGTTGTCCTGGTGGATCGAAAAACACATGTGCTTTCTGATGTCACAGAATTTCCATGAAGCGCCCTTTAGCCAAGGTGTTTTTAATCATAAACTTAAAGTCAGGGTTTCTGGATACTTTCAAATAATCCTTTGCAACTGAATTCACCAAATCAAAGACTGAGCTGATGCTTCATCACAGTTAATCCTCAGTTTCCCCAATTGTTAACTCAGTGCTACAGGATGCCAGAGGATGGCACTGACATTGATGCTTTCTTTTAGGTAGAATAAATAAAGGATCCTTTGGTGCTGTATCTCAGAAGCACCAGAGAGTTCTACTGTGGTGACACTGAGCCTAGAGTGACACTGCTTGTTTCTGCTCTCAAATATTTCACCATGCCCTTGCCCTTGGGGGTTTGTCCTACTTTGCTGCCCACATGTGACAGCAACGTAGGGACAGCCTGGTGCCTTACCTTTGAGTTCCTGTGTCTGCCTGGAGCATGCCACCCTGCGGAAGAGCAGGAGGCCCGGGGTCCACCAGCCTCTGGAAACAAAGTCCTCCTCGAGCTACACCTTCACACTCGGGCCACCTGCCCACAGTACTCACCCTGCAGCTGTCGGCCCCTGTACAGATCCCGTGCTTTGGTGGGGTGTGCCCTGGCTGTGTTGTCACACTTTGGCTGCTCGTACCTGGGGGTGAGAGGATACAAAAGAGAAAACAATTAGTGTGAGCCCCAGGGACAGATTTTCTTCCACTTCTTGTGCATCTGCAAACCATGTGAGGACCAGGCTGTGGCACAGACTTGGGGGCTGGTCCCCGAGTCACAGCCCTCATGGCTTGGCTCTTCTCTTACTCTGTGCACCACGAATGGAAGAAACATTCTCACAGGCCACAGGAGGAAGGACACTGTGACTCCTTTCCTGGCCTGTCTGTCTCTCAGTCTGCTCTTGAGGTCTTGGCCAGTGGTTCCCAGACGCCAAAACCCACTCCTTCTTCTGCTACTCAGTCTTAGGAAAAGTGAGCTCCTGCCCCTACTCTGTGCACTGCTCTGGGTAGTCAGGGAGCAGTAAGGGCCCTGTGGATGGATGAGGGAGGGTCTGACCATGCCCTCCAGGAAGGTGGCAAATTCTCAGAAAGGCTCAGAGTTTTGCATTGGTACATTACTTAAGAACTAATGCATTTCCCATCCAATTCATGAAATTACAGAACTTTGTCCCAGTGTTTAAAAAAAGAAAAGAAAGCTGTCTGTCTCTATCCAGTGTGCATGGAAACTGTGTAAGTCCTGAAGGCTGGGGCTCCACTGCCTGGAGGCTCTGCTCCAAACCCAGAGGGCAGCTTGTCCACTGCCAGAATGCTGTGGTCAACAGCTCCTCACCAAGGCTGCTCTGCTGGGCACCGGAGATAGGGGAGACAGGGTCTCTGCTGGCCTACGGAGGACACAGTCAGAGCAGTGCACAGGGGCCATGGGCACAAGTCCAGGTCAGCCCTGTCCTCCCTGAATTTCTGCACTGACATTCTCCCCAAAAAGCCAGCTTCCAGGGATGCTTTTCAGATGGGACTGATCAGGGAGTTCACTCCTGGGAGATGTGAGATCCCCTAATGAGATCTTCCTAACTAGGAGTCAGCCACTCTGGATGGTCATTTGGGTTGGCTCCAAATTTGGGCTGAAATACCTTAAGAATTCTAGCACTGATGCAGACAGACAGATAGACATATATGTATATAGTTAAGAGATGACATTATGCTCATTTTAAAGAGTGGTAGGAAATGCTGAATTGCAGTAAGAAATAGTAATCTCAAGAAGTACTCACTGTCTAAAAATGTGAAATTAAGCCTTGACACCAATCGCCACTGATTAAATAGTGTTTTTTCTAACATGTTTGTGTAAGGGTAAACACTCACTCCTCTTGAGTGTCTAGATACCCACCAGACTCCAGGCTGACAGCCAGGGGGAAGGGCAATTCAAGCCCCATGTCAAGCACAGGGCCAGGGATCAAGGGCTATGGGGGTGGGCATAGGAGCTGCCCTTTGCGAGGTAGGCACAGTCTGCAGGGCCATGGCGGGAGCAAGGCCTCCATCCACTGTCATAGACAGGAAAGTTTGCAGCAGCTGCAATCAGCCTGCTCCACACTGGACCCAGCAGCCCCTTCCAAGCTGAAACCTACCCCATCCTTCCAACCTGGACTCCTCCGGTCCCAGCACTGTGGACTTGCATGTGTGGCTCCCCTCTACCCACAAGGCAAGCTGTGGCCCAGATGTGGGTGTTGGCACAGAAGGGAGGAGAACAGCTGGAAGGTGACTCTGCAGGGGGAGCAAGGCAAGCAGCTCTCCACCTGGGGTGGGCAAGATGCCGGTACTTATGGCCTTGACTGCAGCCTATCAAATCAGGGCTTCTCAATTCCTTTGTATGGGTGTGAGGAAAGAGAGCTAGGTCATAAGTAAACATGCATATGGTATTTATGCATTCTTACTCTTGTTGAATTTTTAAATTTGCCTCTCCATCAAGAAATGGAGAGAATGAACAAAGAAACACTTGTGTTCTCAACCCAAGTGTAAATCCAAGCACGGTATATCTCCCTGGACTCCTCATTCCAGGAAATCATTAAGGAAATGCCATTTAAGTGACAGAAGGTGTTTGAACATCAGTGCAGGAGGTTTTCTGTGATGGGGATGTCCAGTCACCCCAGAGCAGCAGAATGAGGACAGGAGAAATTGACTATAGCTGACGGTGTGCTCTGATGATTTTGACTGACTGTCCAACATCCATGACTTCCTAGACACGCCCAGATCAATGTAAAACAATGCTCTTTCTCATGGGTGTATGGGCCAATGGCAGGCAATTATTCATAAATTAAATCTTCTAGGATACTTCTACAGAGAGAGAGAGAGAGAGAGGGAGTGTCTGGTGTGCCACGAGAACTGTGGCATGTGGATGAGATAGTAGATATGCTACAGCCACCCTGTGATTGAGAAGAGAACCTGCCTGGAGACAAAGTCAACACAAGGCAATGCCAGAGCAACCAGAACTGAGCTTGCTGTACCTCTGAGCTTGTAGGGACATAATGCAGTCTTTCTGGTGCACACCTATCCAGCAGTCTCCTTGTTCTCTACTTGCTACTGCAGCTGCTCCATAGCTACTGGAACTTGCTATGCTGCAGGGAAGCACACACCCCAGTAGGCCCTCCACCCACTGCTCCCCAGCTCTACAGATCTCCACTCTGGTCAGCCTTCAAAGGCTGCCCTGGCTATGGTGCTCTAGCTGACCCCACAGACCCTCCCTGAGTCCCATTCACTTCACTCCAAATCACTAGTCACCACCTGATATATTTCCTCACTAGGGCTTATCTATGGATATATTTTGCCACCACCCATCTCCTGTCATGAGGGGGAAGCTCTACATGGTGTCCCCAGGCCCAGGCTAGTGCCTGGCAGATCAAGGGCATCCACATCTTTGCTGGAAGAGAAATGAAGAAATAAATGAGCCTGGAATGTCTCTGATCACAAGAGCTGGAATCCTCTCCTGGATGGTCCCACACTTGCCCCGGTGCTGGAATCCAATACTCACCCAGGCTGACAGAGAAGTCCCTGCCCTACACTCTTCTCTCCTGCTTTCCAGCCATCCCACATACCCACCCTATCCATGGCCCTTCACCGAAGCCCAGTGTGCCAGGGCTTCGGAGTCCTGCCCTCTACCCGTGCATCTGGGTCTGGCTGGGACCAGTTCAAGTGCCAGCCACCCCCACTGCCAGGCTTTTGCTACCCCACCTTTGCATCCATCATTTCCCTGATTGCAGGGCTGGCAGACACCACGGAGGCATCTCTCTCCTTTTACACAAAACCTGGACTCTTTAAGGCTGTATCCCAGTCTTAACTTGGGTCCTCCATGACAAGCATCCTCCCCATTCCTGGTGGCCTGGGGATCACCTGGGGCTGGGGCACAGCAATATTTCCACCAAGTAGAGAGAGGGGAGGTTCACCAGGTCCATGAGGGAGATTTTCCTTCCTGTTGAAAAGACAAAGACTTTCTTCTTCCAAAATATATTCCCATGGCTGCAAAGCATGTTTCTAGAAAGCATGGCAGGAACAAACCCTGAGCCAGCCAGGAAGCTGCCAGTGGCTGGGCGGGAAGGGCATCAGAGGCTCATTTGGATTGTGTCTGTGGACTGGAGCAATTCCCAAAAATTACCATCCTTTCAGAATGTGAGAGCTGGCAAATCCTGAGCCCAAGTGACAGGAGGGACTTCTTGTGCCCACCCACTGGCCCCACGCAGGGAAGAACAGTTAGAGAGGAGACTGTCTGTTTCCATAGGTTCCTTGGTCCTGACCACCACTGACCATCAGTGTTTGTGCTGAATGAATGTACTCATGCATGAATAACGAATGACAGATAAGATTCCAGCCAGCACTTTAGGGGTCTCCCCATTTCATTCAACCTAATGTTCTTGCTTGTTTAGGATAAACAAACTCAAATGTTTCAGTGAACATTTTAGGCAAACCATCATAGATCACTCATTTTGAAAAATATAAAATAAATTTCCACCCCCTAAAGTATATAAGTATTCCCAGCTCCAAGCTATAATGCACCTCTCTTTTGAGCGCCCACGTTCTATTTCCTTTGAATGTGTACTTTAAATTCTGCCCAATAAACCTCTTTATGTTGAGAGCGAGAGGGAGGAGAGGGACAGGGACAAGGAGAGGGAGAGAGAGAAGGAAATACACAAAGAGTGACTTACTCTCTCCTACAGGCAAACCTGGGGAGGAGAGAGCCCGAGCTTCTCCTTTTTGGCAGGAAATAGCACAATCTGTTCAGAGTGAAATTGGTTAGATGAGGGAAGATAGGGCTTGCTCTGCTTCGAGTCCATCACACTATGAAGTGTTTACAGGTTCTTTTATAAATGCTGATCTCATCACTTCGGATGCAGGGTGAGGAGTCTAGTTTTGACAGCATCAGGATTTTCCTTGGCTGGCCCTGAGAACGCATTTGCCAAGGACACTTCAGCTCTGCTGCAGAGATGCAGGTGGCTAACGTACAGCAGGCAGAGGGCCTGTGCTGCGAGCAGATGCCCAACCTGAATGTGCAGGAGCAAGCATAGCCCGAGGTGACAGAGGGGCTGCTTCCAAGGGAGGGCACATAGAAGGTAGTGCTCCCTCTGTACCTGTGCACAGGGACTGGAGAAGCTCCACTCGAACCTGGAAAGATGGACCTTCTTACTCCCAAACCCTGCAGCCTCCCTGCCGCTTACTGAAGCGTGTGGTGCATCTTCCCCTCCAGGGAAGGGTGTGTGGGTGCTGTGAGACCAGGCGGGCTGTGTGTGCTGGTTACCCCAGCTCCAGAGGCCCGGAGGAACCTAGACCTGCCCTCCTCTCTACATATATTGGAAAATTTGAATAACTTAGGAAATATCAAAATATTCATGTCCAAGCACTAGAGATTAAATCAGGGATCAAATTTGATAAGATTTGAGAGATAATATTTTCCTAAATCTGTAAACTATTTTTAAATAAATCCAGGAAAATCCAAAAGGCAGATTCATGTAACAGAGCTGCTGAAACATGCACACTGGGATCTTGCTGCTCCATGAGCTAGCCACTCTTCTTTCTCAGGTGCTCTGGGGAAGTTATTTGCTTTGCTCAAACTCACACAAAACATGTGTCAGTTGAGTTTATATTTCAAATCCTTGACTAACTTTACTGCTCTTCCTAGTCACATTCATGCTCTTTAATGTGGCATCTTATAGTATTTGTGCACTGTAGAAAGCTAGCTTGGCGTAAGTGCCCAGCTTCTTCAATGTTGCGTGGACGTCCAGGAGGCCAGGTTGGGCCTCTGATGTGGGCCCCATGCTTACCACATCATGGAGACTGATTGGACTGACCTGGCCTGAAAGTATGGCTCCTAAGCTCTTCTGCTACAGCCCACAGGTGGCTCCAGTTACCTCCAGAGCCACACTTTCCCCTGCCCTTGGGTACTGCAGCCACTTGCTCTAAAAGGCCACGTGGGCACAGAGGACAGAGGACGTGGCTCATGCCCTGGCCTTGTCGCGTGGGCTTGACACTGTCTGAGGTGATGCCAGCCCCCTGCTCCTTTCCCCCCCGAGGCTGTGCATACCTGGTGGATGTGCCGGGGATGGGGCGCCCTGTGTCTACCAGCACGCACCAGCAGTACCCCGTGGACGGGTGGCACTGCACCGGCTTGTAGAGGCCACCGTGGGCACACTCAGGGATCACCACGTTGTCATTCTTGGGCTGCTTGGCCTCCTCCAGGGCAGACTGGTGCTCCTGGTCACAGGAGGACGCTGGAGAGGAAGAGGGAAAGGTGGTGAGCAGGCACTAGGGGCGGGACTGGAACAGTGGGCAGGGCCAGGAAGGGGCTGTGGTCACACTTGGGGGCAGAGGGCTGAGGGGAACCAGAGGCTCAGCAGGTTGAGCAGTGCGGGCCCCGTATTCTTCCCCAGAGAAAGAGAGTGCTCACCGGAGGGCCTCTGCTGCTGCCCTCCTACCCACACTCCAGCACACCCTCCATCAGCTGTCATACCACCACTGAGGAAGCCTGCAAAACACCCACTTTCCCAGGTGGGCAACCCTGACCTCTGACTGAGAACAGGCTCTCAACATCGTCACTGCTATCACCCCAGAACAATGCATCTCAATCGGAGGAGTCTAAAGCAGGCCATGGCAATGGAAGTCAGTAAGGATAACTGGAATTCTCTTGTAGTTCTGCTTCCCAGCAGCCAGTGACATGAGTTAGTTCCAAAATTCACTCACACCAAATAAAACAATGACAGTAAAGATGCCAGTGGTACAGATCATGTGTGTAAAAGCTGGTATCTCCCTATGTCAGCGACATAGCTTCAGCAACTCGGCTTCTCCTTGGTGTGCAGAGTTGCTTGATTTGTACCCATCTGTGTGCACAAATACACGCACGCACACACACACACACACACACACACACGGCCATGCCTGGTCTACACCCTGACTCAGGCTCATGGTGGCTGCAGTGGGATCCCATAGACAGCAGTCACGTGGAGCCTCTCTATGCTGGCAGAATGATACACCCTGGCAAGGTGGAACCCTCTCCAAAAAGTTGAGCATTAAGACTGCTTTGAAGTCATGGACTGCAGTTGACAGAATGTTCATGAGCATGAACATGGTGTCAGGCAGGTGGACAAGGTAAGGGAACTGACAGTACTGTCCCTGTCCACACCACCCAGGCAGAGCTGGCCTGCATGGTGCAGGGGTTAGGATTCTGGCTGGGCCACTGAGGGTTAAGAGACTGAGTCACCCACCATGGTGGCACACTGACTGTGCTCCACAAATGCTCACTGTGACTTGCTCACCTTCCCAATTTTAGAAGAATACCTGGCATAGAGTGCACATGTGATTAATCTCTTGTGATAATAAATCATAGCTTGAAAACCACCTAGATTTTATCTTGCCCAGTAATTCCACCTACATTATGCAGATGATCGCACAAGATTTTATGCTTTGTCTGTCTTCTGGCTACATTACTAAATGCAGCTATTTGATATTTTTCCTCTAATACCAGGGATTGAGCATACCAGGCATACTAGGCAAGTGCTCTACCACTGAACTACATCCCCAGGCCCTAGGTTTCTTCCCATATAATCAGTGTGTAGTCACAACATCACACACAAATTCCTGTTTTTTCCAAAGATCGCAAGTTACTTCTGGTCATGAGGTGAGGAATTCAAGGAGGACAGTGGCTACAGCCTGTGCGGAGCCTGGTGTTGCCTGGTGGCCCTGCGCTCAGGTCCGTGCAAGATCACGTGGGACCACAGGCAGGGCTTAGGCAGGACTCCTTCCCAGGAGACTGGTGTCCCAGGGAGCACAAGGCTTACATGGCATCTGCCAGGCCCTGCATCAGATGTGCATTCATGCACAGAATTTATGGTGTGATGGGGCTGGGGATTTAGCTCAGTGGTGCTGCTGCCTGCCTCGCAAGCGCAAGGACATGAGTTCGATCCCCAGCACCAAGAAAAAAAGAATTTATGGTGTGATCATCTGGCCACAAAATACTTTCTGTGCTCTACCCTGGAACATCCTGTCTCTCTGGACATGATTTTTAGACATGGTTTAGGAAAATTCTTTAAATGTCCCTATTGAGGATTTTATGTCATATCTGAAGGCTCTCTGTAAGCAGTAGGATTGATTAAATCAACAGCTGCTTATAATTGCAGAGCATGTTATAAAGTATCAGAGGTATCACAACAGAATGAAAGGAGATTCTGTGAGTGCGTGAGGAAGCATGATCGTGATTAAGACTGTTACCCACTCAGTTTTATTTCATTGTCTGGCTGTGTGTGGGGAACTCGCACTTATTAGTCAAATTCAGTCACAAAGGGAGATTCTTCATTAAGACTTGGGAACAGGCAGTAACGCAACTTATGCACGGTCACCTTGTCCCCTAGCCCCTCCCAGGGGCTCTTGTGCAGGATCTACACCAGGCTCTGTCTGGGAAACAGCTCTGACAGGACTCACCCTTGATGTCACCGTGAGTGGGACTGTGGGGCGACTTCACACAGAACAAGCCACATCTCACCACAGTGCCAAGGTTCCCATCATCAGGAGGCCACACAAGTGTGCCCAGGAGGGGCCTGAGGACACAGCGCAGTGACCCTCAGGAAAAGTGTCAGTATGACCTTAAAAAGTGTTAAGGCACAGGGAGTCAGGAATGGAGAATGAAACCAGGAACTGGGAGAAACGCAATGAAGACTGACGACAGGAACCAGTACGGGGATGATGCAGAGGCTGCAGTGATGCTGACACCAAGGGAGATGATGCAAAGTGTGACAAGGGGAGCCTCAGTGGACAGTATGGAGCTGAGGTGGAAATGTCTTCAAATGCTGGGGTCTGCCACTGTGACACCACTGTGGACCAAGAGGAGGCTCTAAAATCATTGTGATATTTTAAGTTATATTTGATTCTGGTTGAAAGGCTAAGCTTCCAAAAGAATGATCATCCTTGGAGAGAAAAATAAGGCTTGGAATTCTGGAAATAATTCTCCATATAAACAAATAAAATAATGAACACTTAAAAAGTTTACATTGTGATATTCCATTTTAATATATTAATGAAAATATTTCCATGTGATGCCTATTTAGAGTGTCTTTATAAAGCTTTGACTGCTAATTATTAAATTTTTGAGGAGTTAATGTATAAAGAAAAAAGAATTTAAAATTTTAAAAACTGAATGGAAGGAATTTTAAAACAAGGGCACTTGAATGTTCCAAAGAAAGTCAGATGTCAAAGCACCACTGATGAACCTCAGTAAAGACTGCCCGTCTGTGAAATGCACCACTGCAGAAAAGAGAAGCTGAGATGTCATTTTGCATCAGTGTTGATATCAAATAAAGAATTTCTTTCTAGCAAAATGGACTGTATACAAATAGAGGTGAATGAAAATCATTTAAAGAAAAATACATAAATAAAACCTACTCAGAGATGTCAGTCTTACTGAGAGCAGGGACATAAATAAAAGATCTGTAGGCAGCTCACAAGGGTGGGTGGCTTTCTGAGCCTGAATTTTCCGAGAGAAAAGGCCAACTTCTGCAGCAGCAGCCTGAGGCTCTGAGCTGTTGGTTCAGACCCTGAACCAGAAGGCCACTAGACCAGAACCTCCTTGTAGATCCCATATCCTCGCCTGCCTACCACACAGAAGGACTGAGCACATTAACTGCAATGATAGATGCAAAGTTGTAGGCTGCTATATAATTAAGGTAGTATTATTACTATTGAGCAAAAGTTTTACATATCAGGCATAGAGACACAAAATAAAGTCACATAGAGGAAAAAAAGTCATAACCCACAAGGAAATTTTACACATATTCAATACTGTAGATGTAGGTTTCTTTTAGAAGCCATACATCCAACATAGAAGTAAGGACACACTAGATTTTTGTTTTTTGTTTTTTTGGTTTTTTTGGTACCAGGGATCCAACTCAGGATCTTGTGCTTGTAAGGCAGGCAGCAGCACCACTGAGCTAAAACTCTCCAGCCCAACACACTGGATTTTTCGCTAACTTGTGAATTCATTCACAGCCATCCTTAAGTTACCTGGCCCTCCAAGGAAACATATAATCCAGCTTCAAATGGACACAAATTTAAATGGATCATGATAACTCATCTTGAGGGTCTGCATTTTTCCTGACTAGTAATACAGTTATCTACTCAACTTTTCAACCAACACACTCATATTTAACACATATGTTACAAAAATGCAGTGTGTCCTGTTGCCAAAGTCAATATTTTTTTTTAAAAAGTCCAGCTTTCAATTCAGAGCATTGCATTCCTTGTCACCCAAACTACTGGCTTTACAAATAACATCTAAATGTTCCTGATCTTGGCATAGCTTCCTGGATATGCCTGATGGAGTCTTGAGCCACAAGGAGACCGCTCAGTCTTTTAGCATAAGCGGGACTGCACTGCTCATTCTATCTAGAGTTTATGCTTCTCAGTTCTGAGCATCTCTGCTCTGGCTTTCTACTCCAAGAGCTGTAGATGTCCACCGTTGTCCCATCAGGAACAAACCTGACCTGCAATTAACACACTGGCCACAGTTTTCCTACATAATTTCTCTTTAAATATCAGGCTAGTAACACAATTCCAATTCTACCTTACTGCCAAAGAATTCAAGTTTTGTAACCATACACAAGTTTTTATTTTGACAAAGCTACCTTTGTCGAGTTGGTAGAATGCCTACTTTTACAAAATGTTCATTTTTTTCAACCTAGCAAGTGTCATTGACTTTGCACATGTCTGACAGTTTGTCCAAATTGCCTGACAACCAAAAAGAATGTAAAAGGAATGTAGATGACAAACAACAGCCAGGCATCAAGGAACTTAAAAGATAAAAATCCTTAAACGACCATCATGTTAAGTGAGAGCTCCTGGATTCTCCTGAGCTGATGCCTGAAGTGGTTTTATAGAAAGCAGCACCAGTCACACCTATTCTATTTTTTGAAGTTTTATTGGTATATATTTGTGATATATAATAAATACATTCACCTGAGGAATTGTTATATATACATATTGTATCTTAATCCTTTTCACTTCCCTTTTCCCTCCCTTCTCTCCTGTCTCCTCTCATCCCCAGATTCCCTTCCTAGCTTCACAAAGTCTATCTCTCTGTTTCCATCTATTGTCTATTTCTTATTTTGTTCTTTAAACTATTTATACTTCAAGTTTCTTGTATAAGAGAAACCAAGCAATATTCAGTCTGTGTCTGATTTATTTCACTTAGCATTATGGACTCGAGGTGCATCCATTTTCCTACAAA